ATAAATACATTAGTTCTGACTCTGAGGTAGCCGCCGCGTTTGAAACCTTTTTTACCGACATACCAGTTTCCACTACTAGGTCTCTGAACTCTTCACCTGCCACTGCGATCAAATTATTGGAACAAAATGTGGAAGAATGCAATATTAGCTTTAAGTTCGAAAATATAAATGCACAACAAATTATAAATGTATTTAAATTACTGAATGTTAAAAAAACAAAAGATCTTTGGGGAATTTCTGTTAGCATCCTTAAACCACTTATTGATGTTGTTGCATCTGACTTAGCATTAATATTTAATAAGTGTGTAGAATCTGGTGTGTTTCCTGACTTAATGAAACTTAGTAAAATTATTCCTTTGTTTAAATCGGGTTGTACCTCTGATGCCACTAATTTTAGGCCTATTTCAATATTACCTACATTTAGTAAAATCTTTGAAAAAATAATGTTAACTCAAATTACGAAACATTTTTATAATAATGAACTATTACATGTAAAGCAATACGGTTTCACTCGCGGTCGTTCAACAGCCGATGCTGGAGTCGCGTTACTTCTAAATATATTTGAGGCCTGGGAGGAGTCACGTGATGCACTTGGCATTTTCTGTGATTTGTCCAAGGCATTTGATTGCGTTCATCATGAAACGTTGGTCAGAAAATTACACCACTACGGAATTAGAGATAAGGCTCTGGATTTACTTAGATCATATTTGAATGAAAGAATCCAGAGGGTAGACGTGAATGGAAAGCGTTCCCCTGGATCAGTTGTTTGAAATGGGTGTACCACAAGGTTCAATTTTGGGTCCTTTTTTGTTCCTCATTTATATAAATGACCTACCATACCTCGTAAAGGATGACCACGGGATAGTTTTGTTTGCTGATGATACATCTTTAGTTTTTAAAGTTAACAGACGACAAGCAGTAATTGACGATGTGAACATTGCTTTATCCAAAGTGGTACAATGGTTTAATGTCAACAACCTTTTACTAAACGAGAAAAAAACAAAATGTGTAAAATTCACTTTACCAAATGTTAAAAGTGTAAAAACCAATGTACGACTGAATAATGAGGAACTAGATCTAGCTGATACCACTGTATTTCTAGGCATTACATTAGATGCCAAACTCCAATGGGGCCCTCATATTTCTCAATTATCGAATAAGCTCAGTTCTGCAGCCTACGCGGTTAAGAAAATACGTCAATTAACAAATGTAACGACAGCTAAGTTAGTATACTTTAGCTATTTTCACAGCATTATGTCATATGGTATTTTACTATGGGGTAATGCTGCTGATATTGACACAATTTTTGTGCTGCAGAAAAGGGCTGTTCGAGCTATATATAATTTAGGCCCAAGAGAATCTTTGCGGAATAAGTTTAAAGAAATTAAAATAATGACTGTACACTGCCAATACATCTATCAAAATCTAATATATGTACATAAAAATATTGATAAATTCAAGAAATATAGTGACCTGCATAATGTAAACACTAGAAACAAAAATAAGCTAGTTCAGCCCACCACTAGGCTCCATAAAATTGGTAATTCCTTTATTGGTAATAGTATTCGCTTTTACAATAAACTACCAGATGATACTTTAAAACTGTCAATAAATAAATTTAAAATTTACATTAAAAGACAATTAATAAATAAATCCTATTATAATGTAAAGGATTATTTAAGTGATAAAAAAGCTTGGGAATGAATTGCTCTTTATACTGAAGTAAGGATGTTTGTGAAACAATGATCACAAAAAAAAAATGTTACTTGGCTGAGTTTCTTGTGGGTTCTTCTCAGACCAGGGCGCGTTACGAACCCTCGTAGCTTTAGTTTAAGTCTTCTAATTGACGTACACAAGTGATCATTGAATTGATACAATGTGTAAAAAGAAGTAAATAAATAAATAAATAAACATAAAATGGTAATAATTTCAATTTCACCTATTAAGTAAAAGTGATATTAAATTGTACAGTAGTTTACTCTGGAATAAGAACAGAAACACAAAACTAAAGAACTCAAAAAAGTTTCCGTTTAGGTGGAAATTTGAAAAAAAATAAACATAATGCATAAAATCTACTGCAAGTGTGTATGATGTGACATGATTAACATGACCTCCTTTACTTAAACTCAACGCGGAAAAAGTTGGAGTCGATTTTACTAGTAATAAAATTTACTAGCTTTCACTTTTACGAATAATAAAATGTCAGAATCGATATTTTAAAATCAATGCCATCTCAATACAATAATGACGATTTGGCAAAACTAATTGCAATTATGTGGGCATTCATGTATTAATATTTGAGGTGATTACCGCACGTATTTACTGTTAATTTAAAATCATCAGTGTGCTTGCAATAACAAAAACGTTCATAGCTACAGTTCGCTATAGAGTGCGGCAGTGTGGGAAAATTGTGAAACAGTTCGTCGGGTTGAATAATAAATGATTTAATAACAGAGCCCGTTTGCTCTCAACGGTGTGCTCAGTTCAAAAAACAACAAACGATTTGAAAATGCGACGGCAATTGCTGTAGGTTGGTACGCATGCACGCGATGGTCGCCGCGGGCCATCCTCTCGGTCTGTGTGGAACGACAGACAGTTCACCGATGGCAGTGTTTAATTTTCAATCCTTTTTGTACCTTATTGCACGTTAATTAAGCCCTCCGGCGAGAGGTCATTACTTTTAGTGTACGCTCAACTAAAATGAAATACATACATTTTATTTTATAACAACAAAGGCAGAACCAGTAACGTTTACATATTATGGTACGCATGGGTCTAACTGACCATTCAAGTATTGTTATTCGACTCGCACGACCTATTCTTTATTTTAGATACATCAAAGCTTTATTTAATTAATAAAATTATCTATTAAAAATACCTTGTTAAGGCGTTTTAATTGCGGCCACGAACTTGAAGAATGACTTGATCAATCTATAACATCTTTTCTGTAGTCTTGTGTGTAGAGTATAAGCAACAGGCAATAAAGCTGAGACGAGGTACGAGATTACAAAGTGCATCTACGCAGCAGACCGTGAAGCTCTGTCGACTCAATTTGTTGCTCTGACAATACTCTGTACAATCGCCCAACACCTTTTATAGATAGTTCCAACCCAGTTATAAATTGCTTCGTTTTCTGACATTTTTTAGATTCCAGACAATACATGATCTTAATAACGTAAAATACCTTATCATAATGTATTCATTAATATCAAGTAACAGTTATCCTCAATGAAAATTTTTTTTATTATATAACAAGGAAAGTGAGGAAGAATCTCATTTCTCCAAATAAACAAAATATTATTATCTTCTAAAAGTTTATGGTACATTTATGTGATACATGATTTTAGTTCCCAATCGAGAGTGATATTCATAATGTACATTTTCCCTCAGTTAGCTCTATAAAGTAACAAATCAAAAATCTCACCAATAATAGAACACTCAAATAAATTGGTTCCAAAACATTGATAAGATTCGTTTAATCATGCAATTTGTTACCCAATGTAATCTCTCTCGCGTCCCGAAGCGAAATGGCAGTAGTTAGAACAAATAAATCTTTATATATTGGTAATGTGGAAAGAGAAAAGTTGTCACCGAATCCACTTGAGACAAATGTTTCTTTGTAGATGGGGGAACTGTAAGGAAAGGACGACGATTTATCTAAAATAACCATACAATTTAGCAGAAACGTCGATCTGTCGTCGCTTCCACTTTACCCGACACAAACGATTCCAACCCGCCATATCTACAGAAATTGCTCGACGTACAAATTTCTAGTAAGGTTCCAACCCAAATAAATGTGTTTTCTGGAGTCTTACATTTTCATTTATGTAACTTGCTACGTATGCATAGATATGAAGTGTTATTGAAAAGTCCTTTATAGATTAAAGACTTTACGATAATATGAACTGTGCTGGTGGAACTGGTGAAAATATTTATATCTTTCTTTTAACGTTTAGGTTCATAAGTTAAGATTACTTTAAACATAATATAAAATACACTCGTTTGTATCATCAATGACTGACTAAGTTATAAACACGTAAGAGACTGCGAGACATAGGCAGGACGCTGGTACGACGTTCGCGAACCACTCTTACATTCACCACGCGACAACAATGTCAGCCAAATAGAATTTAATATTCATAGAGTCGACGTACGATTCAGTGAATTCATCGCCCGCACCTTGGACCCAAGTCCCGCATATAAAAGACCTTCCTCGAGCCCCGGGTGTACTTCAAATAATTCGTCTCGGAATAGCTGCACTTCAAAAGTGCGCGAATAGAAACAGAGAAAAAATCCACGCGTTGTTTCATCATACGGCGAAATTGAAAATACCGACAGCGTCCGTCGGGACATCCGTCGACGGGAGGTCGGCTTTGAAATAAGCTTTCTACTTCCTTATATAAATGTATTAAAGATTTCATTGGTAAGGTGTCTTTGCTAAAAGTCAACTTTTGTTTAGATCTATATATTTCTCAATTTTACGTTTCATTTTGACTCATATGGAAATAATAACTCATATTTATGTCATTGGTTAATTATATGTAAGACGTAAACGTATACTATTTTTTTAAATAAAAAGTGGATATGATGTTCTCCTAGCCGATTCCGGCCACGGCGGCCAATCTCAATGAGATTAGCCAACTGCGCAGGAGATATTATAGTGCTCAAGTGTACGCGCAGACACAAGTGCACTCTCTATTTCTATCACACTCATACTCCGGTGGGACGACCACTCGACACGACCGGTGAGAGTTAAGGCGCAGGACCGACGGCTTTACGTGCTCTCCGAGGCACGGGGGTGAAACACCGCCAACTTCCCAACTCCGAGCTGTTACTGAGACTTACTATACAGGAAGACTCAATAACTAAACTTGGCCCGACCCGGGACTCGAACCCAGGACCTCCGGGTGTGCAGCCGTACATGCTAGCCACTACACCACCGAGGCAGTTAAAATGTGAAAAAGTGGATATATAAGTGAATCAAATAGTTTTCATGGTACCTGCATTTCATGCAACAATTCTCTCTCATCGAGCAATACCACGCGACATGCGAGCGTGCGCGGCGCGGGGCAAAGACACTCCATCATCCTGCCGCCTTGTTGACACCTGCTGTAAACAAATAACTATATTATATCTTTAACAATTTAAAAGAAGTATTATTTTTTTCAAATTTAAAATAAATTAAATTTAAAATTAAATTCTCAAATTATACTGACATATTTATGTATTTTTTAGATATATATGTCGCATTATAATTTTCAAGATCAAAGTTGTGCTTAGAAAAGTCTATTTGAAATTAAAGTATATTTTGATTGATTGATCGGGACATTTATAAGGAATAACAATACAAACATACGAGTATGTACATACATTGTACACGTAGAAAAAATTGCCCAACTCATGGCATTTATATCGCTTACTTTTTTAATTAAAATATCTGAACATCAACTAAATTAGTATTATTAATATGAAATAGATTCGAATATTTAAAGTAAAAGCCACTGTATGATACGCACTTATACTATTTTTGATAGTAATACACTGCTAGAGACGTCACAGGTAGTGAAATAGTACTAAAAAATAAAATTAGCCCTTTTATAATACCATTTCTGCTTCTTCACGCGCAGTATATACATATATGCAGTAAGAATAATTAATTTTGATATTTATCTAGTTGTATATATTTAAAGAATAATGGATTGATTATCATATTTTCTTTTTCTCTGGCTTCATTTTTATCTATCATATCCTGTTAGTCTGAGTGTCTGTATGGCATTGAGTCGAATACGTAGGAGTATAATATTTTGCTAGTTTCCTCTTGAAATTACTTGTCTATTTACAAATTGCTATCTCAACTGAGCTAATAGTGACTATCTTCTATTCGCTTTGCAGGTATTTCAAAACATAGACGCAACATCGAGATTCTCCCCACAAAGCCAAAAGTTGTTTCAAGGCAATTACTGAGTTATTTGCAGCCAGACTGAATAGTAAAATCACCAAAGGGTTAGTCGAAACCAAATATATCCTCGTTAAAAGTTAGTCCGACGCGAACGCGCTATGTTCACTGTTTTAACAATTTTATTTTAATTAGTAACGCGCCCGCCCTAATAGGCGGATTGGATTTGACGGAATTTTTGCCCACCTATACAAATATGTAGCGCCACATTGATGGACGACCATTGTGGTGAGCGCCGGATTTATTTTAAACTTTACAACTTTTCCCTTAATTACTGGTAACGTACACGAATTATAGCATTTATATGAGTTTATCCATTAAGACTTCTTTTACGATACACTTAAGCAAGGTTTATATTTTAAGAATAATTTTAATAATACTAAAGATTAAAGTATTATAAGACAGCATATTAATATTGTTATAGGACGCCCTATTTTTTTTGCTCAAGTGAATCCTAAGTTGGGAATTTTTGTTCTACAAGGGAGAGTACCTAGTCTAAAGACCTATCTCTCTGACTCATTCATGAAAAAAAATAATCACCCAACATTATCCATTGCGTATTGAAAAAGCAACAAAACCATAAACATTTATAATGTCAGGAAAGATATAATAAAATATATCAAAAGAAGACAAGAGGCTCATTCTAGATATAGCTATTAAAAGCAAATATTGCTAGTTATAGCATTTTAAGCAATGTTACAAGGCCCTTCCGAGCTGTGTAAAGACAACTGATTGCGAAAAACTTATTAAGATTACCGTAAAAAGAATTTAGTGCATTACCAAACTTCTAACAAGGAAAACTTTACAACAAACAAGTAAGATGGCAATGCGAACAATTAATCCAAACGACCCCAGCAGAGATTAGTGCCCCCTCTATAGACCCCACGCTCCCCCACACGTACAACATTTTCCCGCCATTGTCTGATCGGAAGGCAAAAAGAAGATCCACGATTGACAACGCAGCTTTACGCCGAACGCGGGTAAAACTGAACGGTATGTAATCACACGATCTGTACTTCCGTCATTTTGAAAATCATTTATTAATAGCATTTTTCTTTTTGAAATATTTCAAATATACCTACCTATATATATTGTTCTTCTTAAATGTTGAAGTTTGCGAGAACGGATGAACCGATTTTGATTTTGATGTTTTTGTTTGAAAGGCGATTTAGTCGGGAGTGTTCATAACTATGTTTAATGAAAATCGGTCCAAGATGGTCGGTTTATTTTTATTTTTTAATTTATGTCGACATTTATTAAGAAGGCCACTAGGCCACGTTTATAGTTTATACAATATAATAAAATTATTTACATAGATATATATCTATAATATCACAATTTTGAAAATTGTAGACGAAATAAGTATGTGCATAATCATATTAGGAATCTAACATCATCATCATAATTAGAAAAAGTTAGTAAACAAAACAACGCGTGACACGTGTTTTAGAGGCTTTTTTTAGCTACCTGTCTACATTACAGTCTCTGGAAAGCTATAATTTAATTTAGATTAACTAAAAACAAATAATTATCATTTACTAAAACTAATATATTACCTAGAAATTCAGCGGGATTTAATAATCGGCTCAACGTCTAGTGAACTTTTTACTCTAGAAAAAGAAATGGAACCTGCGAAATTGGGGGTGAAAGTTTAATAAAAATTCTCTTATTATGCAGAAAGTACTCCCCAAAATTTGGTGTGAATTCTATGAATATTAATCAATCGCTGCGCCAACGTTCAGTATAGTTTTTTTTATCCCCAAACAAAAAATAGAGAAAACGTTCCTTGAAGCTAGAACTAAGAAAATTGCGTAATTTTTCTATTTGTTTATTCTGTTTGTTTATGACATCGTTTGATGTAAATTCAATTGACTTATTGTAAGTTTATTTTTCAATATTTAATTTTATCGGTAGAAAGATGAGAAATATTTTAAGGGTCAGTATTTATAAAACCTTTAATATCTTGGGTAAAATTACCTTATTCTAATATTTTTTTATGGTCGGGAAAATTACTACATGGATAACAATTGTATCTTATTACCACAATTATTTTATTTAATAGCGTACTATCATCGACGTCGACGTAAGACTTCCTATAGTTTTCTTTATAGAGTAAAGAAATACTTTTAGATAGAACACACTAAAAGCTTGCCCTGGCTTTGACTGTTTTTTTTTTATTTTACTCTAAGTACCTGAAATAGTCTCTTTGTCTCTAAGGGGTTGAATTTTGAGAACGCCGAATTGCCTTTTAAAAAACTTTGCTACAGAACAAATAATATTAATTCATGATTATTTTAAGTTACAATCTCTGTTACTAATAAAGAGCATATACTTTACTATAATGCACCTTTTATGACATCGTCATCTTTACCTAGTATAAAATGAAGTCGCTTCCGTTGTCTGTTCGCTTAGATCTTTTAAACTACTCAACGGATTTTAATGCAATTTTCAGCAATAGATAGAGTGATTCAAGAGGAAGGTTGCATATTATAGTACAGAAAAGCCGAGAAATTCAAAGATTTGCATTTAACGTACCTAGGGACGAACCTGAGCGGAGTGAGGGACATTCGCTAGTTATAAATAAAAATAAGTGATCCTGGCCACTAGCGTACCTAAATCGTAAAATTTCATTATACATAAATTCACATTGATCTTTTGTTACACACTCTGTAAAACACAAGAGCAAACCAACGAACACTCTTTCGTGCTTATAATATTAAATAAGGATAGCATTATACAATATTTCGTTAACATCTGGCTGTACTTCCCTTAAGACGGAACATAATTTTCTGGCAAGAAAGAAGGTATAAAAGAATAAACAAGGAGTTTTATCCTTATGACACAAATACATTCACTGGTTTACATTCATATGTTCTCTCCAATTTTATACGTCTTTTATTTATAGTGACATTTAAGTATAGGAGGTGCGAGCGGACGCCTGCGCATGCCGTCACGTGCTTCTTTCATGCATACTAACGTAGAATACTACATCGAACGTCAAACGAAAATTCACTGTATTGAACTTGGAGTCATACTCGACGGCGAGGCAGGCAAATGTTATTTATCCATACATTATATAAAATAGTAACAAAGCGAAATCTGTAAGAGAAATATTTTTTTTAAACATGGACTATTATATATAAACACCCCCAAAAACCACATAGTTTAAATTTTTGTCTGTTTGTCTTTTTGCTCTTTACACACAAAGTACTGAATGGATTTTATTTTTTATATAATGGCAACTTAATACTCAGGTCAACATTTAGCTAACATATTATATTCTTTCGTTAACTTATTCCCATGTTTTTGTACGCTTTTTACGAAGTCGAGTTTTTTATCTATTTAAAAGGTAAGCATACGCGTAAATCACCATTAAGTAATATAGAAATAAGCTAAAGTTTACAATAATTTATATATCTTATATATAAAATTTCCATGTCACAATGTTTGTTACCGTACTCCTTCGAAACGGCTTTACAGATTTTTACCAAATTTTATATGCGTATTAAGTAGGTCTGAGAATCGGCTACTATCTATTTTTCATACCCCTAAGTGATAAGGATAAGGGTGGTTCTCCCAGACCCCACCCCAGGGACGAACCCGAGCGGAGCGAGGGTGAGTCGCTAGTTTATTTATAAATTACACGTATGTTATCTATATAAATAAGTAACTGGTTTGTTTCATGAAAACGTTACGAAAATAGAAAATCGCTTGCGGACATGAAAGACCAAATTTCACTTCGTTTTCCGCTTCTCATATTCATTTTTTATTTACAAAAAATGTCTGTCTGTGTATATATCGAACCCTTGTTTTTACTACCTATAGCATAACTCTAATACAGTAGGCCGTGAAGGATCATATTATGATGTTATGTCATAAATAATCATGATTATATTTATAGTCGTCGCCTAAAACTTAACAGTAGCTTATATATTACTCCAGGTCATAGTCTATCTATGTATCAAAATTCATCAAAATTCGTCCAGCCGACTCAGTGTAAATGAGTAACAAACATAACTACACACATACAAACTTAAGCATTTATAATAGCAGTCCGATCATATACAAATATGTTTATTAATAATGTTTTTTGTGATATTATTTTAATGATTATTGATTAGATAAATACTTAATTTGAATTAGTTACTTAATA